ATGGAGAAAGTTTAGCACTGTTGCTACTCTCCCTAGGCGTGGTTGTCCTGTAAAAAATGACTGCAAGAGCACAGCGCAGAATGCTGCATGAGTTAAAGAAGAATCCCAGCGTGTCAGCTAAAGACCTACAGAAATCTCTGGCACATGCTAACATTTTTGTTGACACATCTACAATAAGGAAAGCATTAAACAAGAATGGAGTACATGGGAGGACACCACGGAGGAAGCCATTGCTGTCCAAAAAGAATATTGCAGCACAATTGAAGTTTGCAAAAGAGCACCTGGATGTTCCACAGCACTACTGGCAAAATATACTGTGGACAGATGAAACCAAGATTGAGTTGTTTGGGAAGAACGCACAACACTATGTGTGGAGAAAAAAAGGCACAGCACACCAACATCAAAACCTCATCCCCACTGTAAAACATGGCGGAGGGAGCATCATGGTTTGGGGCTGCTTTGCTACCTCAGGGCCTGGACGGATTGTTGTCATTGATGGGAAAATGAATTCCAGAGTTTATCAAGACATTTTGCAGGAAAACGTACGAACATCCGTCCGCCAACTGAAGCTCCGCAGAGGATGGGTGATGCAACAGGACAATGACCCAAAGCATACAAGTAATTCAACAAAACAATGGCTGCAACAGCACAGAATACGCCTTCTGGTGTGGCCCAGTCAGAGTCCTGACCTCAACCCGATTGAAATGCTGTGGCATGACCTTAAGAGAGCGATTCACACCAGACATCCCAAGAATATTGCTACACTGAAACAGTTTTGTGAAGAGGAGTGGTCCAAAATTACTCCAGATCGTTGTGCAGGTCTGATCTGCAACTACAGGAAACGTTTGGTTGTGGTTATTGCTGCCAAAGGAGGGTCAACCAGTTTATTAAGTCCAAAGGTTCACATACTTTTTCCTCCCTGCACTGTGAATGTTTACATGTTATGTGCAATTAAACCATGGCAACATCTAATGTTTGTGTAGTATTATGTTCAGCAGACTGTGTGTTCTTCTATTGTTGTGACTTAGATGACATTCAGAGCACATTTTATGCCCAATTCATGCAAAACTCCCACGTAATCCCAAGGGGTTCACATACTTTTTCTCGCAACTGTAATTACACTGCAAAGAGACTTTTATAGGCTTCATGCACATGGCCGAACTGAAGCTGTACAGCACCCACAGCCTCCCCATGCAGCTGTCCATTGGGTTGAATTAGAAGGGTTGTGTAAAGCACACATATAGGTGCATGCTCGTAATGCAAACAATCTGGAAGGAACTACTTTCTCTTGTCTGCAGCAGACTGATGACATCATCTCAACCATGGCAAAGTCATTGATTGGGATGCATCAATTTCTTCTTAATGATAGCAGGTACAGCTTATCTGAAAATTATACTGTTTTGAATATATTAACATGTAAGGAATATATTAAAACACACATGTAAAGTCAGAGAAAGGTCTACTCTATTTTTATGTTTGTGGTAACTGCAGTTTTAGATGCTATCACAGTCATTTCCATACCTTACCTACCTAGATCAAAAAAAGATACAGTACATGTTCATTGAGTTCAACACAAAAATGCAAGAACTTACACCACAATTCAATTTCATTAGACTGCAAAGAGGAACAGAGAAGGCCTGATAAGCGTAGGGAATCAAGAAGGCTTGATAAAGTAAGGGAATCATGAATTAGGCAGCACTTGGTAGCATCACAGTATTACATACAAGCTGGGTTAGTGGTTCACAACTTTTTTTGGGGAGGGGGGTTTAGGGTGTCAAGGACTGATTTTCAATATTTTTGAAGAGGTGAAGGTCACCTTTGGTGAAAGAGCTGAACTCTATCAGCAGGATGCAATGCAGTGATTGAGGATCAATGGTCCAGATGGCTTTTTGCTTTCATGGTTATTTTACTGTATGTTGCAAAGATAGGAGGTATGCTTTTGATGTAACATTCTCTAATAGATTAAACTGAGTAGATCAAGAAATCAATAGCAAATTCTTCTGATGGTCAAATTTTTCTCTGGATACGTAATTGTTTCTGCAAACCAACCCCTTAGTTTAATCCAAACAGTTTTATTGCGAAAATAAAGTTTTTTTTAATTTTATGTTTTTATGGAGACAAGTTAGGGAACCTTTAGTGCAAAGGTGGGGTAAACAAAAATAGTTGCCATTTTGTTTTGCTGAAAATGATTTGTCCTAGTCTATTCATGACTCGTTTAACTGTCCTCAATCAGCACTCCTCTGTCTCTATGCTCTTGCCTGGAGGCTGGCTTAAGTGCCTGTTTGCTTGTTATTAAATATGCTTTGACAGCTGGGGGAAGGTTCTTTTTAGAATACACTATTCCAGCAAAGCAAACTGAATTGAATGATGGATGGTTGCAGTGGGGATTGTTCATAAATGTTTAAATTTATTTCAGGAAAATCATGGGGGATGTTTTGATAGAAAATCTTTGAATCATAGCACTGTGGGCCTTTATTTTGATCTGTGCTTGTCTAAAGTTTAAGTATTCCATAGCAGAATTGTCATACACTAGATGAAAATGCTATGGTGTCATCCCTTTCAGTAATGATCAGGATAAGAAAAATAACATCTGAGAGCTAATTACATTATATACTAACTCCTAACTACTCCAACTACTCAGGTTCACACAAATGTAGATGATTTATTTTAGACTAATGAGGTATAACTCAAATTATATAATGTTTCCTACAAGTATGCAAGGTACAACAGAGCACTGGGGCCAAATAAAAATGAAAATGATTAGGCTCACTCTTCATTGCTTCCTAACTTCCGGCACACTGCACAGTACTCTGATTTTAGCAAGATGCTAGTCTAAGAAGTCTAAGAAGTGCATCTGAAGCTAAATAGATTGTTTTATTTCTAGGTTTGCTGTTTGAGATGTAAAGAGAATTTTGCAAGGTGATAGATATTGACTCAAATGAATCAGTCAGGTATGATTCTGCTCAGTTTATCTTTCCATGCATGGCCATCTTTACACCTTCTAGTCGGGATCTCTAGTTATTCCAATATTCACTGATGTATTGGGTCTCAGATTAATGATGCTGAACCCTCAGTACACACAAGACATGTACTTGTGGTCAGGGATGTTTACAGAATTAAAAAAAGGAGGAAATTCAAGAAGAAGGAAACCATGCTGTTGATATCAAATATGTTGGTTCTGGTTGAGGGTGACTGTGCAGAAGAGGTGGGGGTATAACACAAATAACTCAGTCTATAATCAGCATTCCATAATCGGTGTTAGGAACAGTGAAGGAAGTAAGTATTTGATCCACTGCTGAATTTGAATGTTTGCCCACTCACAAGATGGGGCAATGTACTGTCAAATCTTGGGTGAGAACCTTCTTCCCTCAGCCAGGGCATTGAAAATGGGTTGCGGATGGGTGTTCCAGCATAACAATTACCCAAAACACACAGCCAAGGCAACAAAGGAGTGGCTCAAGAAGAAGCACATTAAGGTCCAGGAGTGGCCTAGCCAGTGTCCAGACCTTAATCCAATTGAAAATCTGTCCAATTGAAAATCTGTGGAGGGAGCTGAAAGTTCGAGTTGCCAACAAATGTCAGCCACCAAAACCTTAATGACTTACGTGGGAGATTATCTGTCCAAGAGGAGTTGGTCAAAATCCCTCCTGAGATGGTTTAATTGTGTAAAATTCACTGCAGGGAGGGTATGTGAACCCTTAATCAGTTACCTTGGCAGAAACAAACGTTTCCTGTAGTTGCTGACCTGCACAACGATCTGGAGTAATTTTGGACCACTCCTCTTCACAAAACTGTTTCAGTGTGGCAATATTCTTGGGATGTCTGGTGTGAATCGCTCTCACATGCCACAGCATTTCAATCGGGTTGAGGTCAGGACTCTGACTGGGCCACTCCAGAAGGCGTTTTCTGTGCTGATGCAGCCACTGTTTTGTTCAATTACTTGTATGCTTTGGGTCATTGTCCTGTTGCATCACCCATCCTCTACGGAGCTTCAGTTGGCAGACAGATGGTCGTACGTTTTCCTGCAAAATGTCTTGATAAACTCTGGAATTCATTTTCCCATCAATGACAACAATCTGTCCAGGCCCTGAGGCAGCAAAGCAGCCCCAAACATGATGCTCCCTCCGCCATGTTTTACAGTGGGGATGAGGTTTTGATGTTGGTGTGCTGTCTTTTTTTTGAATTCCCAAACAACTCAATCTTGGTTGCAGTGTATTCTGTCTCTCAGTGTTACAATACAAACCTATCATTTGATATTTAGACTGATCATTTCTTTGTGAGTGGGCTGGGATTCTTCTTTAAACATTCAAAATCAGCAGGGGATCAAATACTTATTTCCTTCACTGTGTAGTTTTTATTTTATGTCAGCACATTACATGCTTTTTGAAACTATATAAATAGTTACATTCAAAACACAACCTCCCTGGTACCATGTTATGATTCAGCATGTTCTTTCTTATTGTTAGTGACTTAAACATGACGTTCAGAACACATTTTAGCTTACAATCTATCAACCATCGCACAGACATGCATGCCTTCTATGGACAATAAAGGCATTCGTCTACCAGTATTTTTTAAGTGTTGAATTAGATAGGAGCACATTTGAATGACACCTAAATAAATGTCAAGGGATGACATGCAAGCACTATATATGTTACATTCAAAAAGTCCCCCCTTTACAAGCTCACAGAAAGTTAATCTATAAATATTATTCAGAAATGTGCTACCTGTGTGCCAGATTTTGAGTTGAGATATTTCTACTCTGCATCAAAGATCCATATATTCCAGAAACGTGTACAGATGACAGAATGAGATATACTTCATCAGATCTTATGGATCTGGATAGATGATGGAAACATCTAAGGGAGGAAAAAAAAGGAAATTCATTAAAGTGTTACTAAACTCACAACAGTAAAATCAGTCTGTATGTGCAGCAAAGCATGCTTGTTATACTCACTGTGGAACCTAAGGGGTTAATCCTCTGCATTGTGTAAAAACGCTGTTTGATCCTGACTTCTCTGATCCTCCCCTTCTTCCAGTGCCCCCCACTTATCTTCTGATAAGACATATCGTGTGGAGTCACTCTGCACATGCACAGTTTGGTGTGTATTGCTAGAGTGGCTTTTTTTTTCTTTAGATAGTGCATGTGATCAGCACAGGGCCAATCAGCACTGTCCAGACAGAGGGTCAGGTGTTCTGCATCATCCTAGAGCAGAATGAAAACTTCTCCTACAAAATTTAACCAGCGCTCTACTGAAAACTGATAGAAATCACAAGATTGTTCTAACTTCTGATGAGAAAAGGTATTTAGCAGTTTTTTATTTACTAAAATAATTGCACTTTCATGTTCTGTGTACTGTGGGAGACCAGATATAGTGGATGCAGAGTCCGGGGCTTAGTAACACTTTAAGCACTATTTACACTTCATTGATTTGATTTGATAATACGTATGAAGTTTCATACAGTATATACTATAATACTTTCTGTAGAAAAATGTTTATGGTATTAATTTGCCTCTAATTGTCAGGTCCATATTCACAAATTTCTACTTGGGCTGCTGTGTGCAATAAGTCTGAACTTTGTAAAGAAAATATTAGCACCAGTAATGCATTAGTATAGATATCCCTTCTCTACTCCTGGATGAGCTCTGCTGTCAATACACATGAAAATATACAATACTGAAGAGGACATGAGGACATAGACAGACAGTTCGTTGTCATTCTACTGGATTTGTGTATAAAATTCACAGGTTTTATTAATATTCATATGACATTATGCTTATTTTTCCCCAGTCAATACTTTGCTATATTTTAATATAGTTTTTTTTACAGAACTCATAAATGTATATCTAACTGTTGCTGTTGTCCTTAAAATATAATTAAAGGCAAAACTTTTTTTTCAGTTTTGGACAGAGTGGAGATGGAATAAAACACCTGTTAGGTTTTTATCGCAGTATGTGCCTGTTTACCGTTATTATTGAAAGTGAAAGTAAAAGAAACCCCATATTATGGGTTATCCCCAGAAAAGTAATAGAGGGGACATTTTCTGAAGGGACACTAGTTATGGTGACCTGGGAGTTCCCAAGGAATTCCCTTAATTTGCAGAGATTTCCTCACTTTTTGTTTTGGCTATGAGACAGGAAGTGAAGGTAAATCGCCCCAATAGGGCACAAAAATACCTGACAGGGGTTATAACCCTCCCTTAGTCTATGCAAAATGGAAAAAAGGTGCCTATAGTTCTACTTTAATGGGCTATTAATAAACTGTGTGTGATTTTTATTCTCAGTATTGTCATGTGGCATGTTTTAATTCTTAGTATTTTGTGTTCTTAACATAGGCATACATGTTTACTGTATATTCCCTCTTTGTTTTCTACTTCCGTAGCTTGGGGTGGCTCTGAGTCTATTATCGTGTTACACACAGAGGGTAGTTTCTCTTTCATAACTAGGCTAGATGTATACATTTCCTTCCTCTTTCCCATATATTATTGTTAATTAGCCATATATACTGACTTCAACACCTCATCAAGTAAATGTACATCAGAATGCATAGCTCAGCCTGTTAATGTCTACATCGTTCAGCTTCTGTTGAAGCTCCGAGCTTTTGGTTGGACATACAGTATATCTATTATCGTCTTTGTTTTGGAGAAAGCCTCATCCAGCTACCACTAGGAGCCACAATGGGAAGACAGGCTAGGGGATCTGGTCTGGGATGGAAGAGCAACCTTAACAGAAAATGTGAGCAGACCTCAGGAGTTTGCAGGCCATGATGTGTTAAACATGATGATCCAGACAATATAGTTATGCAATGACATTTCCTTTTTACTCAGGCTACTGGAAAAAGAGGTCTAATTTATTAAGCTCTAATCATAATCGTTAGCCATAATGATTTTCAGAAAAGAGGGCTAAAAATAACAATAACATAGCTGAAAATAATGACAGTTATGGAAAATAATACATCGTAGCTTAGTAAATTTAGCTTAAGGGCACTTAAAGGATATGCACAGCAAGCTCAGTTATCCATAAAAACTGTATCCTGTTTTATTTAATTACCCACTTTACCAGTGATAAGTGTCATGCACTACAACGAATAGACATGCAGGTATAATAAGTATAATCTTTGTTATTAATGTTTCCTTCATCATAATATATCTTTAGTTTCTTTTTTTTTTTCTTCAAATACTAGCCTGGCTGTTGCCAGGATACTTGTTCTGAACCCCTAAGTGCTCTGTGCTGACTACTTCTGCTTCATTCATTCATTGTCAAGCAGAGCTCTATGGTGCATTGTGAGTATGACTGACAACCAATGACCCCTATCCACACTTTATCACATGATCGCAAGATGATGTTTATTGAATTAAGTGTTACTGTTCTGTCATTGAATTATAGCTGCTGGCAGCCAAAGAGTTACTGTTGTATGTGATTAAATATGCATTCACTTTCAATGAGATCATGTTACAGGCAAAATAATATTAGGCCTGCTTTTAGAACTGAAAGGGAGCATGGAAGTATCAACCAGCCAAGCCAACAACCAACCAAGCATCAACCAAGCTTCAACCAACCAAGCCAACAACCAACCAAGCATCAACCAAGCTTCAACCAAGCCAACGGCAAACTGGGGCACAAACTTTCAAACTCAGTCTTATCAAGCTGGCAGCTAAATTTTAGGTAGACAGGGATGAAAGAGGGATTGAACAGCTGGAGCTGGTGCAGGCCTATTCAATAGGAAACAATATTACTCAGGTCAGGTTTTATAAACTACCTAAATGAGTGCTCCCTGTGGCAGAGGCAGCCATAAAACTTGGAAGCCACCCCCATTTTGAAAATATGACCCAATCTGACTGGTTGACTTAAATATTATGATAACATTTTTGTCCAAAAATACAACACGCAGAAGCAACTGTTAGTAACATAATATCATACATCCATGTTAAACACCATGTTTATGACCCCACATTGTAAATTATCATCCTCCTAGCAAGTTCCCTTGGATCATCCCTATCAAGATGGTGTTAGTTGTGTGAGTTTCAACTGCAGCAGGCGTCAAAGATTGCTTAGATCTCTGTAGTTCGCTCTGAGTGATGACAAATCATATAATCATCCTGATTAACTAATCATGGTATTTAAGGCTTGGTTCACATATGTGCGGGTGGTGCCACTGCAGATCTGCCTGAAAATCCATGCAACCACATCACCCACACAGAGAAATGCGGACCCGCGGGCAGGTGCCATTAATTCTACTGGCACGCTGCCCGCACTGGAAAACTCAACCATACTGGGAACCGAGGTTCTCGTGCGGGCTGCGTAATTAGAAGAAGTGCAGGGACTTCTTCCCTGCATGTCACAGGGCACGGGAATCCATTCAAATGAATGGGCTCTCGTGTCCACACAAAACACGGCCCACACGGCCGCATATATGTGAACCGGGGCTAAAGGAAAGCTTGTAAACACCTGCTGCCTGTTAAGGTTTAGCAGCTTCTTTTTGCTCACAGCAACTTCAGCTCTAAGAAGAAGAGAGTTCCATAAGTTATTTGTAAAATGTGTCTATTGCACAGTAATGCTAAATGTGTAATATCTTCATATCTTTAAGATACATATTCACACAAAATATGTATCAAAATCAGGGGCGGACTGACCATTTGGAAACTCGGGCACTGCCCGAGGGCCCGGGGTCAGTAGGGGCCCCCATGAGATGCCCCTGGTACCTTTTTCATAGGCTTTTTTGAGTTTGGGCAAGGACACAGGGGCCCCATGATCCCCTATTGCCCGGGGGCCCCATGAGTTGTCAGTCCGCCCCTGATCAAAACCTTTACATATTTGGTATTGCTGTACTCTGGATAAATAAGAGAAAACTATTTAGTCAAAATGTGTGAAATAATAATATTTATACAAAAAAGGTTTTATTGAGTCAACCATAGCATACCAAAACTTCAAACTGTGGTCTGGACACATAAGTTTTGAATCTCAGGGACTTGAAAGGTTAATCAGTATCCAAATTAATGACTAAGTGGTCAATTTGCTAAACTGGGTAAGCTATTTTTTGTGTTTGTTAAAAAAAAAAAGTGATAAATATTACTTATGTTTGCAATAGTTATTTTAGCCTATGAATCAAATTAAATACAATTAAAACACACATGTCTTCTTCCAACTGAAACTTGTAACCAAAGTGGACTAAACTTTTTTACTGCAATGCAAATTTCAAATTTTAGACAAAAGTCAACAGCCCTCATTTCCATCTATAACCTCTCCTCCTATTTGTTGACATGACTTTCACAGGAACGAACATACAGTAGTTGCCTCATTTCCATCCCAGATCCCAAAGTAATCTGTCAGATTTTAGTTGATCTATGATTCCCACCCAGGGGCGGACTGACCATTTGGAAACTCGGGCACTGCCCGAGGGCCCGGGGTCAGTAGGGGGCCCCATGATATGCCCCTGGTACCTTTTTCATAGGCTTTTTTGAGTTTGGGCAAGGACACAGGGGCCCCTTATGATCCCCTCTTGCCCGGGGGCCCCATGAGTTGTCAGTCTGCCCCTGTTCCCACCCCTGGGTTATAGTGTCAATCTCATATAAACTAGGTAAAGATAAAAAAGGGAGCAGATGTAGATCTGTCATAAGTAAGATGGAACACTTATAATAAATTAGGAGTAAATAAAGGGATTCTTGCCTAAGCACAGTTATGACTGGTTCTTTTTATGGTATCAAAGGAAGTAAAAGCTTGAAAATATTTTCACGGGATACCTAGTCCAAGTAAGGCACTCAAGGCAAAACAGCCATTCAGATCACTACAAAAAGGCTACTATATGTGATATATGAAAATATAGTTGTATTAACTCAGCAGACATAATTCCCTGAGGATCAGCGCTGCGGTATCTATTACTGTTAACAATCCTTTTGTGAAAATAGCTGTATAGCTACTGAATAAAGTCTTACCTAGCCTCTCTGCATTGCCCATTTCAGAAGAAGTCTTTTCGCACATCTAAACAAAAATAGATTATCATTAAAAATATACCAAATTGTCTGCAACATTTAGCACATAAAATCTCCTATCGCTGTTCATTCTGTAAACACTTTAAGGTGTCTGAATTGCATTGCAAAAAGGAAGGTACAACATAACTGAACACTTTGGTCATTATTTTTTAATCTCTTTTTGAGCAAAGAAAGGGCTCAAACATCAGTAGAGACTATTATACTTTGTTCTGCTTTTGTGAGCACCTTGAAAATAATAATAGGATAAGTGCATATAAATAAGTTCAGCCGTGGATATTTACAGACGTTACAGCCTTATTCTGACTTTACTGAGCTAAGTGTGTACTCTGAGCTCCAGGT